ATTAAATATAAGGGAAGCAACTTTATGTCCTAAGATAACCTTTCATTAATCATGAATTTACATAACTTCCATCAAGGGGACAGGTACTCCAACTAGTTCAAAATATTTTCTGTGACTAGCTGTTCAATGTCTACAAAAAGTGTCAACTGGCATGGAAAATGTCTTCTACATGGGAAAAATGTGGTTGACGAGTGCCTAACCAAGGTAAAAGATTAAACAGGCTTGTTATGCACAATGGGCAATAGACCGGAACCCTATCCATTTATTCAATGAAAAATGATTAGCTATTTTTAACCACAATAGTTTGTGACTAAATTAACTGATTCTATCAAACTAAGATATTTTAAACCATACCTTGTGAAAGACTTTACACCAAATGTTATATAACAGAAGAAAACCTCACATACAAGCCTAAAAATGTGTTTTTTACTGATGTTCAAAGTGAATACAGTTAAAAATGAATGACTTGAATCATTATACATCACTGTTCCTAGTGTTATAACTGTATGGGAAATGTTCTTTTCATATGGGATGAAATTTTGATTCCTTTAGAGGAGTAAATAACACTCAGAATAGAATGTACCTAAACATTGTTAATTAACATTAATCCCTTATCAAAGCAAGCTATCAACGTGGATAATAACTTGTACAAACTTGGACATTTGGGTTACTATCACACAAGACACATTCTAGCATCTTGTAAAAACTTGTACATTTGGATTAATATCAAACAAGACACATCCTAGCATCTTGTAAAGACTTGGACATTTGAGCTACTATCGAACAAGACACATTCTAGCATCTTGTAAAAACTTCGACATTTGAGCTACTATCAAACAAGACACATTCTAGCATCTTGTACAAACTTGGACATTTGGGTTACTATCACACAAGACACATTCTAGCATCTTGTAAAGACTTGGACATTTGGATTAATATCAAACAAGACACATTCTAGCATCTTGTAAAAACTTGGACATTTGGGTTACTATCAAACAAGACACATTCTAGCATCTTGTACAAACTTGGACATTTGGGTTACTATCAAACAAGACACATTCTAGCATTATGTAAAAACTTGGACATTTGGATTAATATCAAACAAGACACATTCTAGCATCTTGTAAAGACTTCGACATTTGAGCTACTATCAAACAAGACACATTCTAGCATCTTGTAAAGACTTGGACATTTGAGCTACTATCAAACAAGACACATTCTAGCATCCAAGCTATAATACAGCAAAATGTGTTTCATTCCGAAATTAGATGTGAATCCCAATAAAGTGGCCAGTTCTTGTATATTATACATTTTAATTCTTTGAAAAAGTGGAATTTGATAAAATCATCAAAATTTTATACAAGGAATTCCTTACAATTAAATTGTTTGTAAATACTAATATACCATTTATTTGTATTTATCAGGCAAGTTTGTGAGTTAACTGCAACTACAAAAAAAAATCCATTTGAAAAGACATAACACAACATGTCAATGTAACATACATGCTACAATGACAAAAACTGGGCATTAAAACCACTATACAGGTCTTCTGGAGACCTTTGAAAAGTAATTTCTTTTAAACTTCCTAACAATCATGGAATGGTTTAGCTAAGGTTCTACTCATGTTTACCATTTTAAAAATAATTTCCTAAATGTTGGCAAAAGCTCTACAATGTATATTTGTTTTCCTCTTAAAGATTATTAAATACCAGAAGAAAAAAACACAACAGTAATTTATCTTAGAAAACTGTACTTCCTCTTAGTTTTATAGGAAAGTTTGTCCAGATATTTTAGTTGTGAATATTTTATGCTTCATGGATGTACCATAATTGAAAATTATTTCTAATAATACAATTTTAAAGCTAAATAAAAGCCTGAATGACCAGAAGCTTTAGAAATTCAATCTGTCAGGCTTCTTCATATTCTCATATTTTTTTACTCACTTTTTTCTTTTTCTGCTTTTTCTTTACAAGGAGATTCTTCAACTCTGTTTTCTCCATAGGAATCTCCACTCTTAGAAATAAAATAATAATTCAATTAACCCTTTGCACCTTGGTTCGGCCGTTTTGCCCATGTCACAACCTTTTACAGTGCTACATTTAAAATTTAAACAACTTTATTATCACTTTATGTCAATAAAAATGGCATGAAAATGTAGCTTATAATTCTAATTTTTATATTATCTAAGATTTGGCTTCTTAATTTCAAAATAATAAGAAATATTTAAAAATTATCAGTCTTCGTTTTTGTGTCACTTGACACATGTGCATTCTGATTTCTCCACTTCAGAATTTTTCTAACTTCAATAATAGCCTTTTACATTTACAACCAATTAAAAATACAAACTATATACAGTTACAAGCATGAACCTAAGATCTAAACTTCCTACCTTCTAGATTTGCTAAGATATCAATAAATTTGTCAAACACAATGGAGAAGTCCCTCCCATCTCTTTGACTTTCGATACCATTTGCTAATTAACTTTACAAGGCAGATGGATACGTTTTTAACCAATATAAAGAGCAGATTTTTTCACCTCTACATAAATCATATAAGCCATTGGTTAGGTTTCCTACTGTATGAAACTCACAAGCCAAATTGTTTGAATTGTGGTGATCAAATTTTAATGCTCGGAATGCTTAAGGAATTTTTTAACCTAATTATAGCTTACTTAGAAAGCCAGGTAAATTATAGCAGTTTTGGGACCTTCTATTGTATCGACATATTTGGAAGTTTCATAAATTCTTTCTTGTGAGACTGAATTAGGCTTATAGAAGAACATTTTCAGTTATTCACTTGAGTGCAAACAGCTGGAATATGTAGTAAGTCTACAAATCATTGTTTGTATACATGTATTTTATACATTGTTATATATTTTAACAAAAGTAATTAAAAGGTAAAAATTACAAACTTCTCAGCTCATCATAACAAAACTTCAATAATATAAAAAGTCTAAAATTTCACAAGCTCCAGTGTGTGTGTGTGTGTAACACAAAACATCACAATTACTACTACAGTGAGTAACAAAAAACAGCAATAAGACCATAAAATTAAAATAAAACAAACATAAAAAGGGTAGCAGTTGAAGCTTTAACTTGGAACTTCCTGATCAATACAGAAAAAAACATTGGTATTATTCACTGTATTTCACATTTCTCAACATGTCATTGTACATTGGTGGTTTTACTACAGTTAGTGTTATAAAAATGAAAGAAAATATAAAGTTTTACTGCAAAGAACTGATATTCATTAAGGGGGTCCTAGAGGTCAGAGTGACTCAAAAAAGGCTTCAGCAATTTGCATACAAATCTTTATTAAAAACCTGATATTTGGTGTACCACAGACTAGTGATTTTTATTAAAAGCTTGTAAAATTTTATGAAGATACACATATTAAATTCACAATTATAGTAAATATTAGTACGTATAGCTTGAGAGATCCTCGATTGGTCAATCTGACCAAGCCCATGAACAGAAGGTTAAATCATAATTATCATTCTCTTGGAATAAACAACAAATAACCAGGACTGACAATACACAAGTATACAGATCCTTTGTTTTTTTTTCACATTTCAGCCTGCATTAAATCACATACACACTAATGATCTTAGAAACCAGACTGACAATTATTACTTTTCACACCATTATCTATGCATCAAACATCAGTGTGAAACTTAAATGATCTTCAACATTCTATTATGTAAACATTTACAACAGTTATAAAGTATAGATAATTTCACAATATTCATATACTTAGATGTTTATACGTGTGTAAATTAAGTTTTTTTTTACTCACCAGAGTTGAAAAGTTAAAACCCCTTGCTACACTGAATATTTTGTATAATGCTATCCAATTTCTAACTCTATAAAATCATTTCTGTAAATGATTAATATGTTGTATGCTTTACATTTCTAATACAACATTATAAAAATAAACTAAATTTTAATTATCAAAAAATTGTAAATTTGAAATAAATTTCTATAATTAAAAATATGTTTATCTTTTTTTTTAGGTAAACTTAAGCATGATGAAAATTTATTTGGAAAGTTGGTAAAGAAATTAATAGCCACACCATTATTTGAAGACCTGCTCCTGACCTATATATCATATTTAACACTCTTCTGTTTATCTGTGTTCAACGTTCAAAAGTTCCTTATCTCTTGGCCTTTTAAAATCCAAGATCAGCTGAAATGTGCAAGTGATACCATGGGCATAAAAAACATTCTATTGCTTAGTTGTATCAGAAATGACAGTGATTCCATTGCTGAATGAGCAGTTGGGGGACGAGAAGCAACAAAACATAGTAATCTCACTTTCTGGCCAGGTATACATGTGAAATAAGTGATTAACCCAGCAACAAAATGTAGTACTCTCACTTTCTGGCTGGGTATACGTGTGAACTAAGTGATTAACTCAGCAACAAAACAAAGTAATCTCACTTTCTGGCTGGGTATACGTGTGAACTAAGTGATTAACTCAGCAACAAAACAAAGTAATCTCACTTTCTGGCTGGGTATACGTGTGAACTAAGTGATTAACTCAGCAACAAAACAAAGTAATCTCACTTTCTAGCCAGGTATACATGTGAAATAAGTGATTAACTCAGCAACAAAACAAAGTAATCTCACTTTCTGGCTGGGTATACATGTGAACTAAGTGATTAACTCAGCAACAAAACAAAGTAATCTCACTTTCTGGCCAGGTATACATGTTAAATAAGTGATTAACCCAGCAACAAAACATTGTTCTCTCACTTTCTTGTTAGGTATACATGTGAAATAAGTGATTAACTCAGCAACAAAACATAGTAATCTCACTTTCCGGTTTATTTCACATGTATATCCAGCAAGAAAGTGAGATTAATTTGTTTTGTTGCTGAGTTAATCACTTAGTTCACACGTATACCCAGCCAGAAAGTGAGATTACTTTGTTTTGTTGCTGAGTTAATCACTTATTTCACACACACATATACCCAGCCAGAAAGTGAGATTACTATGTTTTGTTGCTGAGTTAATCACTTATTTCACATGTATATCCAGCCAGAAAGTGAGATTACTACATTTTGTTGCTGGGTTAATCACTTATTTCACACATATACCCAGATTATTTCTTGCTAACCAACTACTTCTTTCCTGGTTGTTATCACTAATTGTCAGGTTTTTTTTTCATATTATCACCAAGCACTGTTTTTGTCGTAGAGTTTAAATTTTTGTTTACCAACTTGACAAGTAATGCTAATTAGAATGAATATTTTATTTCACAGCATGTTAGAATTACTTGCAGCTGTGAATTGTAATAAAGATTATTGTGAAATGCAGTGTCAATATAAATCATTAGGACCCACCTTTGAATGAAAAGAAATTTAAAACATAACACAACTAATGGTTATACAGTATATTAAAACCTAATAGTAAGAGTAAACAGAAATATAAACTTGTAATTAAAATAGTTAAAATTAACTATACCATTTACTTTATAATGATAATAATTTCACCAGATGGGTTAATCACATGTTAACACACACACCAACAGTTTGTTGATCCCCAACACTTGGGGATCAACAAACTGTTGGAGTGTGTGTGTTAAC